AAAGAAAATAAGCCAGTAGCAGCTAACTGAACAATCTATACAGCACAGGAAATCAACAGCAATATAAATTCAAACCATGGGCTGATGAATTAAGGAAGTTGGCAACTGTTCCTGGGCTGTAGGAAGCAAGAGTTAGAAAACAGGCTCCCTGAGCTGGGAGCCACCATCTCTAGGCAACAAGATCTTTGATCTTGCTTAAACATCAACTGTGCTATACTATGGAATCCCAGTGTTGAGAATCTGGACTCTCCTCTGTTAGATTTTAGATCTGTATTACTTTAAGGTAAATGCAGCAGCTCTAGGACTGAAACGTTTTTCAGCAAGACAGTAGCAAGATTACTTGGGGGTATGAAGGCCTGTGAATCCCAGGAGTACCTCAGCTGAGCTGCGAGAAACTTCTGCTGCCTCAGAAACAAAGCCATGAGTTAAGATCATGGCTACGTAGGCAGCACCTCACATAGCAAACAAGAAAGGAAGAGACACTGTAGTAATCTCAGATGAAGCTCTGCAGTCACTGGAAAAAAAAAAAAAAAAGGACCTTTAAACAGAGCAGGTGAACATACCTTGGTCCTGATCCGGAGGTGAGCGTATGGAATAAACTCGGGTCTCTCATGCTCCTGCTGTCCCTTCAAGTAGCAGTTCAGCATGCAAATGCCAACGCCGGGCAGAGCCACAACAAAGCTCAAGGTCTTCCACAGGCGGGCTAATAGGAAGCATTATGTGAATTAGAACATCAATCACCATTTCTGTTAGTGACCTGGGAGCACGTTAAATACAGCTAATGCATTAACGAGGAACTAAACACTTCGCACCCCTCAGCAGAGCGTGAGGTGAGGCACCTCCCCTGTCTTGCGGGGATTCTGGGCTCTCGGGTCAAGCTACAGCTCTCCCGGGGGGGGGCTGCCGCCTCTCGCCAGGGCTCACACCGCCGGCGCCGCGATGAACAGCGTGGGCGAGGCTTGCACCGAGCTGAAGCGCGAGTACGACCAGTGCTTCAACCGCTGGTTCGCCGAGAAGTTCCTCAAGGGCGAGAGCGCCGGGGACCCCTGCGGGCAGCTCTTCAAGCGCTACCAGCTCTGCGTGCAGGTGCGTGCGGCGCCCACCCGCGCTGCTGCTTTGGCACACGAGCACCCTCACGCCGCTCTTAGCTCTGCCTCTTCGCTTTCCGCCCCAAGCGTTCTCCCATCGGACTTACGCTTCTTACCGCTCTCCTGGTAGCCCAGGGGGAGCTTCGGCCATAGCTGCGCACCCCACCACGCTGCTCCTGATTGTTTCTTGTCTCCTGTTTCTCTCGGTCATGACATATGAAATTTTACAGGTGTCTCTTACTATATTTCTGTTGTTAACGTGACTTCTTAAGCCTCCTGCTTTAGAGGGTGTAGCACGTTTATGTGATAGAAACTGGATTGTAGTTCCTCATGAGTTCTCAGTACATACTTAAGCATCTCTAATATTGAAGCTTTATCCAAAGCGTTCTTAAGACTACTTTTTCTAGATCATGTTTTGTACCAAATATTACGTCACTTAGTACTATAAAGATGTGTCAAGTTTAAGTTTTTGTTTTTCTTTTCAGAAAGCGATCAAGGAAAAGGACATACCCATTGAAGGCCTGGAGTTCATGGGCCCAAGCAAAGGAAAAACTGAAAACTCCTCTTGACCTCAGCTGTATGGATGGAGTCACTAATATGAGCCTTTGGACTAAGCAGCATCACCAGGTGTACGACTAGATGCCACCTGGATAAGACCTTTGTTAAGCTGATTTCTAGGAAGCGAGAAATCTTCTCCGCTTGTAAAAATAGCCACCAAAAAAAAAAAAAAAAAAAAAAAAAAAAAAAAAAAAAAAAAAGACAACTGGATCATGGGGTAACTACTGCCTTCTCAATGAATTTTGGTGGTGGTTCAGCATCTAACAGCTTGAAAAGCCATTTGAACTAACTTCCTGTTGAATGTACTCTATAACAGGAGAATGCTTATTAGGGTGGGCTGAGATAGGAGTTGCTTTGTGACAGATTTCTCTTGCTTATTTATATAACACTTAAAAGTGTTTAAAAAGAATATGAAGGAGGTTGATTTACTTTGTTTCATTTCTATGCTGCTGAATTTTGGTGGAAGAAGTTTGTTTTATATGATCCTGAATGCTGAGGGGCTAAAGCTTTGTTTTATATCAGCAACAGAGATGGTATAAAAGCACTCTATTGGACTTGCAATAACTTAGCTAAAATAAATATAACCAAGTTTTATTTTGTTCAAGTAGATAACTGTCTAGTAGAATCTGACTGTGACCTCTAGGAGGGATGGTGGTAGCCTGCAACAGAAGCTAGAGGTAACTTCTAATGCAAAGGTACTTCTTCAGCCTTTTATGGGGTCCTGAAAGAATCCTGAACTTGAATTCTCTCTCCTTGAGCAGGATTTTGTGTTCCTGCAGTAAAACTGCTGCGCAGCCCTGGCCGTCCTTTTCCACCCTACCACAAAGCCAGGCTGGCCATGATCACTGTTAGACTTTTGTCTGTGGTAGTTAAAGCCTGTGTTGAATGAGGGAAATATTGGATTGGAGCTTGACAGCTTTAACAATATCATGTTAAAAGCCCCAGCTGCTGCTTGGGGATCTCACCTGCTCAGGAAGCTGCTCCTGAACTGTGTGTACTTTACACTTAGGAAAGCAAACAAAAAGTAATTGTGCTGGCTTGTAAACTGCAGAAATGCTTGCAGCAACTAGAAAAAGGGTTAAGAGGTCAGGATTCATCCCATCCAGTGGCCCTGTGAGCACTGTGGCAGGTGAGATTTCTGTTGATCCTCATAAAGGGATGAGGGAAATCACCTCGCATTACACCAACAGAGGTGAAAGAGTGAAAAATATTATGGCCTGGGGACAAAAGATGTCAGCTTGCTAATTCTGCTACAACTATAGTGAGGAAGAAAGTGAGCTTCACTCTCTTTGCTTTTAAGCACTACCCAAATGATCATTCAGAGGCTTTACTTTTTAAAAAGGTGCATTTCTCAAACATAATAGTTGGCTTCTCTGCACTACAGCCCATGAGTAATGAGACCCCAGACACTGAGAGTAGTGTGGGACTTGTGCAGAAGATCAGGGACTGCCCCAGACTGGGGCCATTGGTCTCTGTGTCTTCAGTGATGGCCTGAAGACATCAGCTGGAGATGATCAGGTAGCCTGGGTTAGCCACACTCCTGTTCTCAGGTGCATGAGACAGTGCAATGTCAGCACCACAATTAAATGTAGCACTTACAAAACCAAGCTGCTTATGCCTAAAGTGCTGGGTCGCTCAGGTATAAATAAAAATAGTAAGGGAAAGGTCTTTTGAGGAGCACTGTAAATAGCATTTTAGGGACTGTCAAGTACGTGGCTTTTTTAAAGGAATGACATGTACAACGTGTAGGCATAAGTGTAGTATGATTTTATCAGTTAGCTTTAAAGTAACTGTGCCCATCAGTGCCTTGTTCTGTGCTTTTAACACAGAAAAGCTCATCTTAGCAGTCATTTTACTAGTAAGTGGATAAAATAAATTGCATTGAAATTGAGGGTGTCCCGCAGCACCCACTTAGAGATTCTCACTTGCCATTCATCAGAAGCAAGATGCTAATTCAGCTGCTGCATTCTTCCTTTTGGGAAAAACAGTATTAATGACAGCTAAGACATAGCTCTTTCATACCCTGCAAAAAAACATAGAGAAGCTGCAGAAGGAATTGGATAAGTTGACTTGCAGAGAAGAAAAACTTCAAAATTAACATTGTACTGGAACAGACTCAGGGCTTTCGAACTGGCTGTTAACTATGGAAGATAATTAAGCTCTTCTAGGTTAAGAAGCTGCTGACTGACACAGTATGCATTATACAGACCTATGTAATGAAGCAAAGATTGTGGTTTTGTTTGTAACACCTGTATGAGATTTTGTACAACCAGACTGCAGCTTTATGAAAAGCAGAATTGTAAGCAACATACGTGCTGATCTACTAGAAAATTTGAGAGCTGAAGATTAACATTGTGAAGGCACACAGAGCTTAATCAAACATCTTTGTTGCCACTCCCTCGCCCAGAAGGGTCCAAGAGAAAATTACCTTCATGATTGTTAATAAATACTGCATTAGCTGATTACGGAGGATGTGCTTCAGTATATACTGAATTTTAATCTACATTATTAGCCTGATCATCTGGCTGTGAGCTGTGGGTTTATCAGTTAAACCAGACATAAAGAATACAAAATTGAGTAATGTCCTATGCTGAATGCTTTTCTGTTGTTAGCACTAGCTGATAACAGGAAGCAGGTATTAACACTCAGGTGCTCTGTCTTGTGGGAAGCCTCAATGTTTTAAGGAAACTCTAAACTAAAAAACTTCTAAGGACTCAGATTAACAAAAAAGTCAGATCCTAAATTTAAGTTCAGAGTTGTTTATTTAAAGGACCTCTACACAAGTACAGCCAGCCACAATGCCATTCAGCTTCATCACTGAAGGAATGTAGAGTTTCTTAAATGATGGTTCCCTAAATGATGGTTCCCACACAACATTCTGGTCCAAGATGGGAAGAGCCAAAGTTCTGGCTGTGGTCAGAATCTTAATTTTCATCTTCATAACCAGTTGGGAGAGCATTAACACGGGGGTTGTGGAATAGAGTTTTGTTCCCGTCACCCCAGGGGAAAGGCTGTTGAAGGAAGAAAGAAAATAAGCCAGTAGCAGCTAACTGAACAATCTATACAGCACAGGAAATCAACAGCAATATAAATTCAAACCATGGGCTGATGAATTAAGGAAGTTGGCAACTGTTCCTGGGCTGTAGGAAGCAAGAGTTAGAAAACAGGCTCCCTGAGCTGGGAGCCACCATCTCTAGGCAACAAGATCTTTGATCTTGCTTAAACATCAACTGTGCTATACTATGGAATCCCAGTGTTGAGAATCTGGACTCTCCTCTGTTAGATTTTAGATCTGTATTACTTTAAGGTAAATGCAGCAGCTCTAGGACTGAAACGTTTTTCAGCAAGACAGTAGCAAGATTACTTGGGGGTATGAAGGCCTGTGAATCCCAGGAGTACCTCAGCTGAGCTGCGAGAAACTTCTGCTGCCTCAGAAACAAAGCCATGAGTTAAGATCATGGCTACGTAGGCAGCACCTCACATAGCAAACAAGAAAGGAAGAGACACTGTAGTAATCTCAGATGAAGCTCTGCAGTCACTGGAAAAAAAAAAAAAAAAGGACCTTTAAACAGAGCAGGTGAACATACCTTGGTCCTGATCCGGAGGTGAGCGTATGGAATAAACTCGGGTCTCTCATGCTCCTGCTGTCCCTTCAAGTAGCAGTTCAGCATGCAAATGCCAACGCCGGGCAGAGCCACAACAAAGCTCAAGGTCTTCCACAGGCGGGCTAATAGGAAGCATTATGTGAATTAGAACATCAATCACCATTTCTGTTAGTGACCTGGGAGCACGTTAAATACAGCTAATGCATTAACGAGGAACTAAACACTTCGCACCCCTCAGCAGAGCGTGAGGTGAGGCACCTCCCCTGTCTTGCGGGGATTCTGGGCTCTCGGGTCAAGCTACAGCTCTCCCGGGGGGGGGCTGCCGCCTCTCGCCAGGGCTCACACCGCCGGCGCCCGCTGAGCGCCCCGGTTCCGCGGCGCAGCCCCGCTCGCTGCCAAGGGCAGAGGCTGTCAAGGGCAGCGGCACGCCCCCGCGGGCCCCGGCTACGCCCTCGGCCCCAAGAACCCC